CTACTCACATCAAGAGTCCAATTCTCTTCTAAAACCTAATGAAAGCTCCCCATTTGCTATGCTCCAGCATTTGAGCATAATCATATTCATTCCTTGCTTGTCAGACATAATATCTACCTGTTTGAATAAGGGCAAGGCAGGACATCTGCTTGGCCTCTCCTTTACTGGTCTTGTCTTAGATATATTTTTATTATGATAAAATAGCACTCATGTCAAAATGCCTAAGTATCATAGTAATAAATATATAATAAATACTTATATCTAGAGTGAACCTGGACATATATAAGATATCATCTCATGATTTATGTGGGTTTTTTTATAAAGTGTTGGCTGATATCCAGTCACAGGAATGCCTAAGATATTTATCACAGAGCATATTAGGAAGAAAAAAAGAAAGAGAAGGAGACACAAAGAAAAGATATAAAACAGACAAGATATTCCAGAGAAGTAACTAAACAAGTCTTGGGTCATTTCCTCAAAGAAAATTTCCTTCATCATGTCCCCTATCCTAATACTTCACACATTGCATTACCGTTTACTTGAATATTTCACTCCCCCGCTCCCCACACTGCAAGCTCCATGGGGATGTTGCTTTCTTAGTGCCAAAAACGGTGTCTGGCACAAAGTAAGGGTTCAATACGATTTGCTAAATGAATATGCTTAAGCATAGCTCTGTATTTCATTCAAATAGGTACTGAATGAAGAAAGAAGTTTCTTAAAATTTCTTCTCATATGGATTTGGTAGAATGAATATGAAAAACACAGGTATTAGAAATGGTATTATAATTCCGGTTAAAATAGAAACTATTAGTCATGAATCAGTGCTATTCTATTAATAGTGTAACAGTGAAATAATTCAAAGAATAATGTCACTGTGCAGGGGCCGGAGATCTATGTCAAATGATCTCACTACAAAAACGCCTGAAGATACTTTGGAAAATTTCTGTATATCATTCTTATAGTGATGTAACTAGATATTTGCCCTTCTATTAAATAGGCAGTAGTCAGAATACTTCAAAAATTATAAAATTATCCAAGTAACTGCGGTGTCTTTTGTTTTCTTTAATCATAGTTTTATTTTACCAGAAAATCTGTGGCAATATTTAAACTTGAAATGGGCTCAGACAAAAATTGTCGATACCCTCTTGCTTTCTTATTGGCTCTTTTGTGTTTATGAAGAAAATTACATTTTAGAAACAATGTTTTTTTCTTCCAATAAAAAAACCAAAATATACTGGCAAAAGCAACAGTCTTCATTTGATGCTATGATAAAGAAACTCCTAGTTTTTTAAAAGGCTCACAAGTCATCATTGCACGAGTGTACCTTATATTAGCAAAAGAAATTGTTTCGTGCATTTCTGAATCATTTAAATGTCTCATAGAAATAAAAGAACAGGGCCGGCTGAGTGGCTTGTTGGTTAAGAATTGGCTTGGGAGCACCAGCTCTGAGCAGCTGGGCCCTGGTTCAGGTCCCACATGAGGGCCAGTGATGCTGCGCCCTCTACAGCTAAGATGGTGAACAACAGCTTGACCTGGAGCTGGGCTGCCATGAGTCTCTGGTGATGGCGTAGGCTGCAGTGGGGCTGGCCGGCAGCGGGCATGAGCTTTCGTGAGCTGTGAGTGGCCATTCAGTGGCCGGCGAGCAACTGCCTCACCCAGGAAGAGTGCAATGATAATACCCACATGGACCAGTGAAGCGACGTCCTCCACAACTAGACTGAAGAACCAAAGGACAGCAACTTGTCTGTTCCCCTTCTGCGATTCCCCAACGCTCTTCCCCTGCCCCAATTCCCCAATAAAATCTTAAAAATAAGTAAATAGTAAATAAATAAAAGAACAAATGTTGTAAGCCATGATTTTCTTTTGGTTAAGGTTCTCAAAATACTTTCAGTGGAAGTAGAGTTGTCATACTGATAAGCAGAGATAAATCATTCTGACAAGATTTTCACTCACCCCTCTCTCTAGTTGCTTCATTGTGTAGATATATCAATACAAACACTATGTATATAAACTGATCCCAAAGATATTTCTGCTAAGCTATTGAGTACGTACACCATAATTGTATGAGGCAAGTAATTCTTACAACACACAAATTTCACATGTAAATGTCATTGTTAATCAGGCAACGAACAGGTAAATTATTTAGTTAACATTTACACTGTATAGTTATAACAAGCATGAATGACTGCTTTTCATAAATACATTCAAATATAGCAAGATATGAGAGTCTTCAAAACTTAACAAGCAAATCATTGTATAAACTATGCTCTGAAAAGTATAGTTTTGTTTTGTTTTGTTTCTAATTCTTCTAAAGATTATTAGCAACTCAAATATATCATTCAAATTTTCATACCAGGAAGGCCAATTATATTTAATATGATGTAGATTTAGAGAGAAACCTACTTATTTTTTCTTTCTTGTCACTCCATTTTTATGCTTCCTTAAATTCCTTGAAAAAAAAACCAATAAAAAATAAAGTCAAGGGAATAAAAGGAAAATATATTTTAAAATATGTCATTTGCACACCTATGTCGTCATGTGTCCATATTTCCTGCTATATTAAGTGTCTCAAGAGCAGGGACCATGTTTTTACGATGCCAACTGTTTGGCTCCAGTTTGAATGGATTCAATACAGGTTCATCCAAGATAACAGGAAAAAAATGACATAAGATTTCTGTGGTTATTTCTCATTGGTGGGTATTCTAAATGGTTATAGTATACATAAATATATCATTATACAGAAACTTGGTTGCTTGGACCTCTAAGTATTGGCCCTCACCTAAAGTGAAATAAATGTTTTCATCACCTCACAGGAAGGGTGAACTGTAGCAATTTGTTTCTTGATGGTTGCATTGTGAATACTTTAGAATAGGACAGAGGTTTAATGTTTCTTTAATAAGATTCTTCTCTGTTCCCTTAGACAATTGAGGGCAGGTGAAATATTTTCAAAGTCTGGAGAATACCCAACGTGTATGTGCCATCTTGATTAAACATATGGAATACATACTTGGAGAAAAGCCAACTAGAGCTTTCCCTGAGTAATCTAAACACCCAAACTGAGAGAGGTTAATACATAAAGATCAGCTTTGTACTTTGAAGTTTTCTGGACTTCATTTTGCCTAATTAAGAAAAGATTTAATAATCAAACCACTGTACAAACACACACCTAAAAGTATAGGTTTGTTTCTAATTTGGGGAAGAATTTTTAACAAATTCCAAGGAATCAGCTCCCCGTGGGAGAAGTTCTCTGATAAGATTTGCCTTTCTCATTGTTAAAATGCAAATACCTGCTCTTCATCTGAGTTTCTTCCCTGTGACTGAGGTTAGCATCGCCTGTCAAAATCTCAAGTGGGGACACTAAAATGTAGATGCTGATACTTGAGTACCATCTGACTCTGACACAGTGGCAGCTCTAGGTCATAAAACAGGTATTCCAAAATATTCTTAAGGGTACTCACAGGCATCTAACAAACCTAATTCCAGCTCAAAATGTTATGAGGCAAAAAGTAGGATTCCCAATCTTTCCTTCCACATACCTTTTTCTCCCTAGACATTGCAGGATTTTTCAAGAATACCTGGCAGTCGTAAGCCATGCAGAGAGACCACAAAACAATGCTAACTCTACAATACAGCAAACATATGCAGATTCACATTCAAGTAAACAATATCACGCCATTGTATAAGAAGGACGTTGGTTCTCATGTGATGAGGCTGATTTCATAGAAAATACTTTGATGCATTTAGAGAAATGATGTAGCAGTAAAATAGACATTAATCTGATGATATATAAAGAGTCTGCAATGTAGTGACTTATAGTCTGCCTTATAGAGAAAGGTGGCAGTTGAGGCAGGTGCCACTGCCACCCCATCCCCAATCCCACACACATCATCTTTGAGAGCATCAAAGGGCTGAACTGAAAGGATTTCTGTTCAGTAGAGTGATCCTCAGCCCATGCTCCCTTCATGGCTCTGCCTTGTTAAGGGGGAGGCCAAAGAGAAGAGAAAAACTCTAGGCCCCCCCACAACAAGGTGAGTGCATGATAAAGATTCCCTTTTCCTGCTCCTCCTTCTGCCCATGAGGTTTTGCTTTGTTTATATCACAGTACAATAAAACGTTTTAATACTAAGCCGATTTCTAGCTTTATATAAGTAAATAGGACATCACATCTCAATATAACGCCTTGGTAAGATACTCATAGGTGATACAGTAACAGAGGAGCGTGGATAGAATCTCGATACTCAGGACCTTAACATTTTCCAGGAGTGAGAAGATTCTGCTTTGTAAGCCTCATGGCAGAGAGTCACAGCAAAACTGTACAGGCCAGTTTTGCTTACGAATTCACTGAAAATGCTTTAGCAGCCTGTCTGATATTGTTACGTTGTAATCAATGTTTCCTTGTGGTTGCCTCAGCAGGAGGGCTTCTAAGGATGTGGTGTGATACAGACATTCAGACATTCGCTGTCCATTTCAGCCACAATAAGGCTGCCAGAAAGAAATTACCACAAGTTTCTGAGAAACTGTTTTAAACCCTGAAATGAGTGGGGCATACTCAAAAGTAAATATAACACAGATGCAAACAAGTTGCTGAAAATACCTGGTTGGCTAGAAGCTTTCATATCGGCCAGCACCTGTGCACACTTTTTGAGATGTGAATCCACCACATTTAACTCTGCCGTAAGCCTTTTCTGCAGTCCCCAAAAATGAGGCTATGCATACATGTGCCTGTATGTGCTTATGTATTATAAAAACAGGCACTCAGTCATAAAAGACCTCACTCATCTATAATCACAGTTTTGCTACAAACATCCCATGAATGTAATGATGGTGAAAGCCCTGACACAGTGATGGTGTCCTTGACCCTGACAGCAGGGCTAGGTTGGCAAACTCCTTTGGACTGTGATATATGCCAACATTCTCCTCCCGAATGCCCAGATCAGTGAAGAGAACCCTGACTTCCACACTGGTGGATATGACAATTTGATTTGGCTTGGGGGGCTTACTTTGTTCATGTGGATCTGCTGCTGGTATTGCTTCTGCTTCTCCAAAAATTGTTGGTGCTGCTGCTGAATGACCAGCTGAGCCAACGTGCTCTGAGGCAAAGGTGCAGACTGGGTTCGATTCAGAGGTCTGTGACGGGGCAATTTGTGGGTACCTCTAACGCCAGGTGAAATTCTCTCTTTTGTTGCCAAGGGAGACTGAGGATGTAAGGGAACTCCACCTGAAACACACACACACACACACACACACACACACCTATTAGTTTAATAAGAAGCCACAGAAAACAGATATATGGGATACATTTTATGAGAAGTGGTGATTCTACCAGGCAAACATCAGAAGAAGGCTAAGCTGGGTGGGGTGAAGACAGAAGTGCCACAGCATTAGACAGGCGCATGTCTTACTAACAACTCACCAGTAGTCTGGTATGTATAAAGGTTAAATAAGGTGAGTTTTTTTTGTTTTTTTTCATGGATCTAGAGGAATAAATAAGGACAATAGCCTTTTCCCACAGCACCAGGTCAGGGCGACCCTTGTATGACGTGGTGAATCTTTACTAGGGCCTTGAGTTAAAAAGACATTACATTGGATCACGGATAAAAATAAAAGCCCCCAGAAGATTTACAAATGGTGCCCTTATTAATTACCAGCCACAAGAAGCTTTTGCTGTCGCATTTGTTCTTTCAATAATAAATGCTGCAGGAGAGCCTGGTGGCTGCTGTTGGGCTTTCCCTCTAAAGCAACGTGGGGGTGGCCTGAAGACGCCGGGATGCTGCCCCCGTACTGCCCAGGCAGAGGGATGCCTTGCCTGAGTGTCTGGGTCTCACACTTCTGTTTTTCTTTGAGCGAATTTGAAGCCTGTATCAAGAAATAACAAAGATGTTAATTCTCTTTCATCCAGGTGGGTCATTATATCTGCACATCATTAGATTAGTGTTTTATTCCATAGTACCCTCACCAAAAAAGAAAAAAACCCAAAACACAAAACATCTTACTAATGGCTGAATATGGAAAATTGTTAACAGCGTGACTTTTAAACTAACTGAATCAACAAAGGAGATATAAAAATAGAGTTGAAGCACTGGAGACAATCTAGTATTGGGTATTATTGTACTGAACTCAATAAAAAGATGTTTGAACATTAAAATGATGCTCATGTCAGGCTTCATAAAAGGGAACTTTGTTTCTGAAAAAATTTAATATATTGCTTAAATAAAAAATTATACTGGAGAAGTAAAATGTATTCAAATTGCTAAACTAATGCCTATGTCATACTGATTAAGAAGCTAGAGATAAAATGGTCTGAATTTTGGCATCTCAGGCATGAGGAACAGTTCAGCCTTTCTTTACATGTCCTCTAATAAGATCACAGAGCTGTAGGTTTCCAATATTCAATTTTAAAAACAAAATTCTTCAGATAACTCAAGGAGGGGTTGGCTAAAATATGCAGGAATTTGGTTTAAGCATGTATTTTATCTTAATTCATACAGATCCCCAAATTTCCAAATATTGAAAATGACACTCCAGATACTTTTGTTTAATAAAATAAACTACAAGTGAAATTAGATCAAATAACAATGCTATTAAGGACTTGAAATGTATGATAACAGTAATAAGGCAATAATAATTATATCATCAATAGTAATAATGAATTATCTTATTCAAAGAATTTAATGAATGGTGGTCATTTTAGTATTACAAAAGCAGAAGTCTAATGCCTCAAAATTATGTGGCATGTTTCTTTTCAAAACTCATGTTTCATCTTTCAAAATTACTGTGCACCAGGGAAGCAAAGCAATTTTCGGTGATGGAGAAATTAAAGGACAAAGAGGTAAATGGTTTGTCTTAGTCACACAGCAAGTCAGTGCAATGTTTAACCTAGAAGTGATTCCTTCTTCTGGCCTCTTTTCCTTAAAATTTCCCACTACTCAGTGGGGAAATGAAATATTAGACATCCCTTTGCCAAAGCAATGCTAAACTTGAAAAATTAATTGTGATGGCCTCATCCACACCAAAATGGAAGCAAAGAAAAATGAAACTTGTATCCAAACCACACTGGTTTATTCATCCAAAGGTACCAAATTGTATTACCATTGAAACATTAAATGGTCTGGCTTTAGTACTAGGTTCTTTGAGAAAAAAAATTCTCCCTGACCACATTAAAAGTGGTGTATGTTTGTGTTAGCGGGTACGAGTGACTTAGAGCATGCGAAAAGGAGTGGATAGAAAATGCCTATTCATGTGTCATAAGAGTTTTTGGGGTAGTATTTGCTTATCACCAGAAGAGACAGAAAAAATGGTATAGAAGAAAAATAATTTTTAATAAGTGAAGATTTGAAAATATCATCCATGAATATTTATGTTTCATTTCATCCCTAATTCCTTTTTTTTTTTAATTTTTGCTAGAATCAATTGCTTACAAATGCTTTATGTGGCATTTCAAGGGCATAGTTGAATTTGGCATTTTTAAGCTGTTCTTCTATCCCCAGATATAATACAACATTCAAATTTTGCTTTCTCCTCACTTGTATTACTCTATCACATAACATTCTACTCTATTACAAACACCAAATATATACTAAGATGCCTCTTAGATTGATTTAATAATATGTATTGAACACAACCATATAATTTCTCATGTAAAAATGTCACCATAGGTGTGCTTATCCATAAATTAGAGTATCATATACAGGTCTTATAGTCTGAAAATAAATTAGTCACGAAATAGTCAACTCTATAATTTCCTGATATGGGCATATTGTAAAAGATGTGAATTTGACAAGCTGTACTCAGTGGAAGACTCGCTGCTAGACTGGTAAAATTGGTGCCAAAGGTTAGGACAAATTTCTCTTTAAACCTAATGGATCACGTGACCTTCGCATAAAGTACAATTTAATTTACTATCATTTCATGGATGAATTATTCCAAGTAAAACTTACAAATCTTTTACAATGACTAAAATTTATATTATTTTGGGAATATGTATAAAATAATTATTGCTATCTTCTGCTAGTAGGACAATGACCTCCAAAAGACCCTATTTCGGTTGTCAGGGCTTTTAAAGTAATTGATTCACTTTGAATCTCCTGGGACGAGTTTAGTATTGTTCTTAGAGAGGTTTTCCAGATACATATTCTTCAGAACCACAGAGTCAGTGACTTCAACTCCCCAAATAAAGACATTCACGAAATAAATTCTATGAACATATGCTTCTGTGCTTGAGATAAGAAGCTACACCTCTCAGCACTGGCCTGGGTTGAGCTCCAGGTTTACTACTTGTGGGCTGAGTGATCTGGGGTTTTTAGACATTCCTATTCTCAGCCTCTTCTTCTGTAAAAACATGGCCTGTAATCTCTGTTTCATGGGATGGTTGTGTGGAGCTAATAAAATAATATATCTGGAACGTGCTTTCTCTTTTACAAGCGATGAAGCATTATTATATAAATGTTAGTTATTATTTTTATATATTATTATGTGAACATCTTTGAACAACTCAGTCAACAGTGAAGGAGAATGGATTCTACCAAGTTTCTCTGAAGTCTAAATATACAAGAAATGAGAGCTCCCCTGTAAAAATATCACTTGGACTGGTTTAGGCTGTTGCTTTATGAAGACTTACATTGAGTTGGGTTGGCATGGCTGGAAGTCCCAAAGTAATATTGGGTAAAGAGGGAGAGGTATAAAGACTTAGCAAGTTCATGGAATCTTCGTGAATTAGAATGCGTTGTTGTGAGACCATTTGCTGTAAAAAAGAAAAAAAAAAAAGAAAGAAAAAGGAAAAAAATGAAAGGGCAGTCTCCAAATAATACAATATCACAAATTTTCTGTGAAATGTTCACATTTCAGACAATAGGTTTTATAGTATCATAATTAGTCACAATATTTTCAGGTATTTTAATTATTTTATCATTTCTGCATCCAAATTTTATATGTAAAAATTAAAAATAAAAGTTTCTTCATCAGACATAATTATAAAATCTGAAGACAGGGCTTTTATGTTCATTTTGCAAAATTCATTTTTAAAATTCTAGCTTTATGGACCAAAACCAGTGTGTTTTTCATCAAATGGTAAATTGATTAATTCTTATGAGTATATATACTTTTTCGTATTACTGAGGGGTAAATATGTATATAATGCTGTGGTAATCATCATCTTCTTACGAGTTAAAAATCATTTTACTGATGAGAAGGCTCTCACAAGGAAATCTTAAATATCACCATATAGCATTTCTATAATAAATAATATCTGTTTTAATATAAAATTCATGAATAGACAACTCTGGTTTTTTTTAAGGTCATTCATATTCAGAAACTAAAGTAAAAGTTAAAGTGTTATGAGTTCCCTGCACCACAACAGCCTTCATTTACACTGAAATACCTGAAACATTTTGGCATCACAGTCCTTTTTACAACAAATACCTTTTTAAAAAATCCAATACTAAGAGTAATGTTTTCCCACATGTGGCCTAATAGGGTTGCTTGAATTACATTTTCTGTTTAATTCTTGCTTCCCTCCCAGAACTCTTCTACAATAAGAGTTACAAAGGTCTTATTAGACTAAGGAACTCTGGCCTGATATGGTTCCCAAGGGAACAACATCCCTGAAAAAGAATACTCCATGTAACAGTATGACACAGTGACTGCTTTCTTCCCAAACAAAAAGCATATGGGACTCCAATAATAGACCACCTCCAAGAGGGATATTGCACACACGGGCTTTGACTAAAGTAAATATAATAACTTGTCAAGCATGTTTGGGGGAGCTGTAGATTTTGCCCTGGACAAACCTGGGATATCAATTAACTGGGGGAAATATCATGTGCTAATACAATGCAACCTCAGACTGTCACTGAAGAGTGATGCGCCACCAAAACACAGGATGTTATTCCAAAACATCACCTCAATCATACGTTTGTTTGGAGATGAGTCATAGCCTTAACATAATAAAAGCAGAAGGTTAAATGTGGATTTTTGTCATTGCAACTTGGAATTCCAAGCTAACTCAGATTTTGTTTTTTTTCTCAAAAGAGCAAGTCGGATATTTATGCTTGAAAATCAAGAGGGACACTGAAACTTTTAACATTAAGTTGACGTTATATGCATGCAACCCTTTACAAAGTCGTCTAAAACACCATAGCATGAAGATTGTTGAAAAGGATTTTATCATTACAGTGTGAGATTGCAATTTTATTTTAGAGGTTATCCCTAACAGTTGCATATTTGCTCTAATTAAAAAGATAAACTACTATTTTGCTTACACTAATAATGCTTTTAACATCAATTTTAAGTGTGGAATATGTTATCTGAACAAGAGCAGAATGTATGAGGAAGTAAAAAAAAATTTAACTAGCTTATTGGCAGGGATGATATTTCATTCACTTATCTGTATTCATAGAACAAGAGAAACAAATGTAGGAAATATGCACTTTAAATGATGTAAAATATTAATTCAAGGTGGTATCTGCTTCTCACAGCACTGTGGGAATGATGGCAAAGGTTATCACAGACCTCACAGAAGAGGTTATCTTTGTTTCCTCTTCTTTGATGTCCTCCCAGTGCATCATGGGAAGCAAACCTACACTACAGTGAGAACAAGGTTTCTTCTCCAATGGAATGATGGCAGAAGCATACTGGCTACTCACACAGGCTTTGACTAAAGTGAAGGGATTTGGGAATACTCTATGGGATTTCAGACTCCTGTACTTTCATATCAAGGCTGAGTGACTCCATTTCCTGACAGTGTACTGATTTTCAGCACCTCCCATGTGCCAAGCCCTGTGCCAGGCATTTTTTTGGACAGTAACCTATTCCTCATAGATGCTCTCCAGCTACTGTTATGCTCATGTTATGGATGAAGAAACTCAGTGATTCCCCCAATTCTGGCTCCCAATGGGATCAGCAATAAAATTTTTAAATGGTTCAAGGTTATATGATTTGCTGTCAGGCACTGCTGCAGAAGCTAATGCCACTCTGCAGCCATTATTGAAGGATAAGGGAGACATAAAAAAAGTATGGAGAAGGGGGAAGCTTTAGAAGGAGAAGCAGCAAAATCAGGCCCTGAGGCTATGGAAGAGAATACAAGTGAGCAACTGAGAGTCAGCTGACCTGAAAAGAAGCCAAAGTCCTGGTGACAGTAGACACGAGGATCTTTCAGTCATGGCGTCAACTCCGAAGGAAACAAGAGAAGTCCTGAGTCCCCTTAGTTCACTAGGTATAGTCGGTTCTCCCCACAGAGACTAATTGGTATAATATCAAATTAGAACTTCAGGCACTAGGATGTTCCTTAGTTTATTCCCTTTGAGTGCAGATAAACTGGCACAGCATTTATGTAGACTTCCAATGGCTAGAATAGCAAATAACAGACCTAAAATAAAATGTTTTCCTCAAACTATCTTCTTTAAATCTAACTTTCCTCAGTTTGGCTCTTTGATGGTGGCAGTCTATCAGTTCCAGGTTAAGGTTTCTTAATAAGAACCTGGAGCTGTATTCTACGTTGCTTGAAAGAGTGCAGACACAGCTGAAAGCCAGAAAAACAGGTGGTGAAAGCCAGTACCATTTCACTCAGACAATGAAAGATCCTGACCAGTATTCTTGCGAAGCTGGAAGGTGACCCCACCTTGGCATTGTGGTGAGCTCACACATATTTTCTGACAAAAACAGGATTTTTCCAGGAAGCAGTTTGGAAATTGATCCAGCCCTTAACTCAGTGCTATGCCAATGTTTCACATCTTAGAACATGGGGAAGACGGTTTTAATCTGAAAAATTTTCAGAACCAGAAACTATTGCTGTAGTTGATAAAATGGAAATATTAAATGTATACATGGATATTATTTAACCTTCATAAAACAATTAATGAATTAAGTTAGATTAACAGTGTGATATTGGGCAGTAGGCGTACAAAGATGTTCTATACCACATGAGTTCACATGCGATTCGGGCGCACAGAAAAGTAGAGAACTAATTCTAATGACCTGTAGTCATTACTATAACTAGAGCAGGATTAAAACACTTCCGTGGCACAGAGGAGGGTGTCAATTTTAAACCAGGCTTTGATGGGCAGCTAGCATTTCACCAGAAAGAACATGATGTTGGGAAAAAGGATATGACTGAGCCAGATGTTTTAATAATGACCTTCAAAATTTAATTACATTTCTCACCATCATAGCAATTGGGAGCCAATCTTATGGATAATATTCGCAATGCAAAGAATAAAATAAACATAAACTGAAAAATTATGTCTCTCAATAGAGCTATTTATTTTACCACTGAAATCAAGGAGTTATTAGTTGCAATCAAAAGATACAGAATGTCTTCTATAATGGACACTGGCAAAAATGAGAAAAAATGTCAATGTCAAGTGTTATAGGGATTTTAAAAAGGTAAACATTATCACACATTGCTGGTGGGACTGTAGACGGGCATAGTAATTCTGGGGAACAATTCAGCACTATAAACCAAAATAATTACACTATACACTGTGGGGGTTCAGATGAGTCACCCCAAGATGTGCCTCTGTGGTATGCAGATTGTTTTGAGCTAAAGGCAATTTTAGCTGAAAGCTCAAGAGAAACTTCTGCCCCTCCCTTAACTACCTGGAAGAACTTGAATTAGGGGCCTTACCCATAATAAGTAATTATTGGAGAGAAGCTCTTTGGACTTATCTATAGGGCAGGGCAAACTTCTATTTACTAAGCAGCTGCTCTTCTTCTCATCTTGCAATGACCCTTTGAAGCCCCCAAGGTACTTTACCTCATTAGGTATTGCACTGGTACTGACATGAATGGATCTAAAAACTTATACTTAGTGATAAAAATAAGAAATGGGATGAGATTGATTAAATTCATGGGCACAAAGCAAAAAAAATATAAGATAAGAACTCATGCAAACAAAAATACAGGAGAAAATGACTGCTTATGGGGGCAAGGAAAACAGAAGTGGGGATAAAAGATACAGGGGAAAGGGTCAAGGAAAGAAGATAAGAAGAATGGAACAAAGGGGGGGAGAGAGTGAAGGAGGGAAGGAGAGGAGGAGGAAGGAAGAGAGGAAGGGAGGAAGGGAAGGAGGGAGGGGAATACCTTTTTTTCTTAAGAGGACCAAGGACCCTTGACAGAACACTAGTTATGTAAATAATCTCCTACTTTTACAGAAGCTCACAAAAAAAGTGGATGCAAAATTATCAATTTAGTGCATGTTCAAAATTACCTACAATATGCATGAGCATTAGAAAAAGAATATAAGAATCTACAGAATTTTGGTGAAAAGCCATCTGAACTAGTGAAAAGAAATATGGACTAAGCATTTTCCATCTAAGTTCTACTCACTCTGGGCAGCTGCCTACTTTCCCTGGACATCAGATCCTGGAGCCTGAGACTGAAGCACCTCTGACTGGCTCCATCAGGTAATGACTGCATATATCAGAACAGCATCCCAGAAGATGTGCTTGTAAACCTCAATCTGCTTTGGTTTTAAAAGGTCCCAATCCCTAAATCTAGACTCTTTAAAAACAAGAGAGCCACATTAAAAACAAACAAATCTCTGAATCTTTTAATGTTTGCCTATGGCTTTCATACTATCTTTCAAGATAGTATTTATTTTCTACTCTCCTTTCGGACAGCTGATAGAAAATTAAAATCTCCCTGTGATGAAGACATTTTTTAGGCAGTAAAAATCTCTTAAGTTTTTATTTTTTTTCTGGACACCGAAGAATATATTACTATAAAATGATTTGGAGACAACAAATTATTTGACAAGGCTACCTTTGCATTTAAAAGGCACTGATGTTTTGGCAAAGGTCTTGCTTTACTACACTGACTCATGTTATTCCTAGTAAAAGATTCTTTTGTCATAGCAATCTCCTTTCCCCCAGGCTGGGGAAAGCGTTTTTATTTGCTGCATCTAAAACCACAGCCATACACCCACTGGGAAGGGAGCACAACATTTATAACAAATGTCACAACTATTATGAAACAATAGGCAAATGAGTCATGTGAGACTTGGGCAAAACAAGTGACATTTCAGATGATTTGAGAGTACCTAACCTTATTATTAGAATCCTTTTTAAAAAATTGTTTGTATCTGCTGGAAAAATTATTTAAAAAAAAAAATAGCACAGCAGAGCCAGCCACTAATGTTCAACTCAAAATAAACCAGCTGCTTGGCTACTGTTAAAATAGCTATCAAATAAATCTACCGAATCTAAAATAATGGTGTTGATATTCATGGAAACATATTTGAACCCACAAGCCCACAGTATTAACAATAAAGTAACTGGATGGGTAGAGACATCTCTGACTGGAGTTGGAAATAGAAACTCCTGAGGTTTTAGTTCCCCAACCATGTTTTTACAAAGGAGTTAAAGCAAGTAGCTCCAACAATCTGAGTTCAGGACTGAGCCTAGATGGAAGAAATAGAAGACATGGAACAGAAGTGGTCAGAGCCCATGGAGAATGAAGACTCTCTCCCGTGAGATGTGCTGTCCTGCAGACAAATATGCTAATGCGTTTTCCCGATTAGGAGTCAGTATTGCTAACAACAAAAAAATGAATTTGCTTTGTGCTTCCAATTTACCACCTGCCTTACAACAAAGCCGATTCCTCACAACAAAGCTGTAGGTAGGTATTACTGTCTTTCACTGAGGAGTCTGAGGTTCAGGACAAGTTGAACGGCTGAACCAATGATGACCAAGTACTTGGTGTTGGATCCAGTTTCCTGGGAAGCCTTCCGAACGGAAGGCCCCTACATTAGAATTCACTGTGTTGTTACCTTAGCCTGGATGTATGAGGGAATTCTCCTGCTACTTATGTCTTAGCCTTTATCTAAATTATGCAGGACATGTGAACTACAAGATAGAAAATTTTCTTTTTGCCTAAGCCTCTCTCTCAGCCTGAAATCCAGCCTTACTTTCCTATTTCCCCTTCAGAGGGGAGCAGGATCCCATTCACTTACGTGGACTCTGAGAGAATTAGATGACACGCTTTTCTACTTCCAAATCACAGAACTCAAATGTCCACAGTTAATACTATTTTAAAATGAAAACTCACCTGTGCTAGGCAAGTAAAGATGGTAAGATAAGCCTATTTTGTAAAAGGTGAAGGATACAACCAACTTGGTTTTTGAAAGTGTAATGATATATAATAACCCCCAAAATATTGTTTCATATGAAATCACATGTGCTTATTAGTCTTTAGAAGATGTCTGTAAAAATCATACTAAATTCAAAATGACTGTTAATCAAGAACTGAAAACAGTTTTTTCCTCTTTTCTGTAGTTTAAGGGGAAGCATTTAGGGTTACAAAGCTAGGATGTTAATTTGCTGTCAGTTTCAGTCTGACTTTTGCTGTCTCCTCACCTCTCCAGTATGAATTACACTGCAGACCTCTGTAAATGCAGTGCAGCAGAAAACCACATGTTAGCCATCAGGGTTGAATTTTTTGTTCTGGGCCACAGAGAGGCTACCCATCAGTGCATAAAGGTCTGCCCACCTGGCCTTTTGGATCATAGTTCAGGCACACAATTAATTCATTATGAGCTAAGTCACTGCTTGCTTTTGAACTAGTCTTTCCAGCTTTGGAGGTGAATGTCCTGTCACTGACCTGAAGAAATACCTCTACTCTTTCAAACTCCATTAAATCACATTTCCTTCTGTTTTTTTTTTTTTTTTTTTTAATGACAGGGTGGAAGGAAAGGTTTGTAGTGACAGAATATGTTCAACAATTAACTAAAAAGCTAGGGCATCTAAACAAATCTTTGTGACCGTAAAGCTTTTAGGAATATAAAACAGATTGAAACAATATAAGCCAATGCTTTTAATTTACGTTCTCCACTGTACAAGTTGGGTTTTTAAGTCACAATCTGGGGCACTGAATTTAATTGAACAGGTCATACAAAGCTTGAAATAAAGAGACAATCTCACCTTTTCCATTTATTTCCAATCTCACAAAGGTCGTACCAAGTACTGTACGCATATATATGTATTTATAATGAATGAATATATATACTTTCTTCTTTAGCAACAAACCATGTCACCACCCGCTTTCCTCCCTCCTGAGAGATAACCACCATGCTAAATTTTGTATTCACTCCCTTGTCTTGTAAAAATATACTTTCACTGCATATGTTTTCCCGATCAAAATACTGTGTTGCTGTTTCTGAACCTGTTAAAATACTATCATGCCGCAAAGCGGCCTTCTGCACCTTTTTGCACCAACAATGAATCTCTAAGAATTATACATACTGCTGAACGTAGTTTAGTATGTTATTTTCATTTTCCAAGTATATACAATTCATCCAGAGCCAATTTAGAACCCAGATCCTTTAGTGTTTCTGCTATTACTGAGAATCACTTTCTTCAAACTGAGAAGACATGGAAATCTAAAGTTTTTAGGAAATATTGTGACCAAGTTATTCTTTTCCTAGAAAACTGACCACTGCGGATATATAATTGCACTAACAGAAATACAATACCTATAACCAACAGTCCAAGAATCCCGCTTACGTCTATGACCACAAATATATGTGAAGTATTTATTCTATCAGGTATCATGTTTTAGAAAGACTAATGAAAAAGAGAAAGAGGGACGAAATATGGTAAAAAACAAGAAGTAGATGAAGAACCTGGATATAATGAGAGGCCTGAACTGTTATTCTTCTAATAGCTGAAAGATGATTTTAAGCAAGAGAGTATCACTCTATTTTGCTCATATTCCTTGGAAAATTGAAAAAAAAATTGAAATCTAGAATGAAGGTGTATCCTTCTACATGGGATTTATATTTGCTTTTTGCAGAACTCCAGCGGAACTACAAATCTGGGGCACTTTAAACCAAATTAAAAGTTTGAGGTTATGTAAGTTTGGGCTGCAACCCATGCAAGGGCTAGCTTCTGGTTATAGCTTGTCAGGGAGAGATAGATGCTTGCCTGCGTTGGTTCCCATCAAGGCACCTCCAGGAATTGGGGCAACTCACCAATGTAGCACAGATATGGGCCTTTGGGATTCCAGCTTAAAGTGTGGAGGGTTCCTTCTTAGATATCCTCCTTGGTCAGTACTGGGCTTTGGTTGCTATCTGCTGAGTTGTGTGAGGTCCTGAGAGCCAAAACTCAAAGTTCAAGTAAACAAATGTCCTCAGAGCAAAAGTGACTTACTGGCTTATTAGGGATAACCTCTGGGTTTCTGCCATCTATTTTTATTTTGGCCTGATAATTTTATAATTTATAAATAGTTAATTATAAATGTGTGTGCCGTGTGTGTGTGTGTGTGTGTGTGTGTGTGTGTGTGTGTGTGNGAGAGAGAGAGAGAGAGAGTGTGATTACAGAGACAGACAGTGGCATAAAGTACAGAAAACATTTCTATCAGTCAAGCACATCCAAACTTTGTAAATAAGATCAAGTTTAGTCAATTCCACCATTATACATCTATAAAAAAAATAACTAAGAACAGATGGCTTTGAACTTCAATTTTGAAATATCACTTTGTTTTAGGGTGCTAATGGAGGAGGAGCTGATTTTTTTTTACAGAATCAAAATATTAAGAGTCTTACCTCAGCATGCGGAGTAGGTGGCAAAACTGAAGTCTCATTTTCAGTAACATTCCCAGTTGGCCCATTGTTTGGTGAACTGGGACCAGACCCTGGAGAACTGCTACTGACTGAGGATTCTGAAAAACATTGTGAAGTACAAATATATTCATGAAAAACATACAAAGATGAGCTTTAGTTATACTCTAAGTGATAAACAGCATTGGATATTGTTTTTACCCACTAACTGAATAAATGACAAGCACCACTTCACTAAAAAAAAAGAACTGTGAAAATTTTGGAAACATTTCACCTAAGTTTGTGGTCTTACCCCTTTTATCTTTCTTTTCTCAAAATGATTCACTATTGTGACATCAACTATTATCTTTAGATAGACTATTCTCATGAAAGTTATATTTCTTCCCTATACCTCTCATAAATTCCAGCCTGTATCCCTTTGGAATGCTGAATATTTTTAATCTCCCTTTATATGTGCATTGATTCAATGTATTCCAATATTAAATGTGCCCTGATTGTCTCTGTTTATCATTACGCTTAGAGTCATTCTCACTTCCTTCTTTATCTCAAATCTAATCAGTTACTAACTAGGTCTTTTCATTTTTGTCTTTACATTATCTCTCATCTACTTCTGACTATAATCATTTCAGTTTAAGCCCTCAACCTCATTCTTCTCTTACAAACTATAGCAAAAGTCTGCTAACATTTCTGAGTTGCTACGGTAGTCTCTTAAAACTTTCCTCTAAACTGTTGCCAGTAAGATAGTTCATAATGAGACAAGTTTCACCATGTTCCTGTGGATCAATAAAGATCTGAGGCTGTAAAACAGTTCAAAAGTTTATTTGGGATCTAAAAATATTTGAATCTGGGAGACACAGATTCAGGGGAAGACCTGAACTGTGCTCCAGAGAAGACAAAGATAGCTGGAGCTTATAGAGGCAAAAACCACAAGCTGGAACAATAGAAACTTTTTCCTTTGACTACTTAACATGGTGTGATGGCTGGTTCAAAAAGATCTGGTCAGGTCCAGGTGATGAAACTCTAAGGTAAGAGGGTGGGGGGCAAGTCCCAGGATGCACTTCTAGGGCAACACAGAAGTCCAAAAATCCAAACCTCACCTGGGTGCAGAGGTGTGTAAGAATGTCTGTCTTCCCTTAGTACCCTCCAGGTTCCATTTTAGGGGCCCCTAATATTAGCACTCCATTTTAAAATAGTTCGGTTCCATTTCTCTGCTTCAAAATGGAGTCTAACATGATTTTTTCCTATTGCCCTTCCTGTGCTCCACACTCAAATTTAAATCACCTACTCTCCATAAGTGCCACTTTCCCATTTTATGCGTTTTTATTCCCCTTTTCCTCCACCTATTTCACTGAAAGTCCAGTCCCACTTCTAAGCTCAGAGTCTGGCTCATGTACTGTCTGTCCCCTAGTGAATGGGAATCCCCAATTTGCAGGCAATAGTTTGGAATACTTCCAACTTCCAACTTTCTATTATAAATATTTCTCTACTCAGAACTGGAGGCCAATGAGAAGAACGTGAGACGGGTCACAGAGTTTTGATCCTGCCCTCTCCTTGTTGCAGGGTTTCATCAAGTCATTGGTATCATAAAATTCTTAAAAACATCTTGCTCACTGCCTTTCTGTTTATAGATCTTGCATACACTTTGACTAATCTGCTTTTTGCCTTTGCCTCTTTCTTAGTTACTTTTCTCTTAATGAAGGAAATGCACATTTAAAAAAAAAATTCTCCTAGGAGCGTTTTCCCCCAGACTCCTAACGCTTATATTTCTTGTATTACTAAGTACTGATTTCCCATCGATGTCTCATTTCCATATTTTATCTTAAAAAACAAAACAAACAATTGTTGTAAACATTCTGTCTTGTTAATTTAAAATTATATTATTTATATTAATTTATGTGATGTTCTGACAGAAATATTTCCTTATGTAGAAATCACTGTGATGAGCACCAGAATTCAAGGTAATAAGTACTGTAACAGGATTCTTCAATATCACACTGGAAAGGGTCTGGGAGGGGAGGTAGCAACTGATTTTCTGGGAACTCTGAACAAAATCTCAGAAAAGAAATGGTATTGCAACTGGGGCTTGAATAAGAGTAGTTCGTAAAATGGGGGCAATGGAGACGGGAGAGTGGAAGAGAAGGCACTGCAGACACAGGTCAAGGCTTCGAATTTTCAAATAGCATGGTGTTGGTGGGGGGAATGGCAGAAAACTTTTGAATTTGAAAAAAAGAAAGATGGCAAGTGGTTTCCATGTCAGTTATTGGGAGGAGAGCGGCGGCATGGATTTGAAAAAAGCAGACATTGAACCTGTGAAAATGGGGAAGAGAGATCTAGAGGTGAGAGAAGAAAAGCAATAGCAATTGAACTGCTAAGATGCAATGTCGGTCTCCGAATAGATTGCAAAAATAATTAGTATTAAGATCCAGACCTCATCCAAATTACATGTATGATGGCAAAGAAACAACGAGGAGTGCAGGTAAAGAAAGCTGTGTGTCCAGTAGTGTAGATACTCCAAAGACATTTAGAATAAGTGCAATGAGCCAGTTAAAAGCACCTACCAAAGCCCTACACTTCCCAGCTCATTGACCAGAAATGTGTCTAAAAAATGTGCAAGTTTTTCTTTGAACATGCATTATTTCCTCCGATGAAAAGGGGACTCATTATCTCACAAAATTAGGAAGAGAAAAACATGACATTTCAAAAGTAACTTGAGTAAAACTTTAGCAAATTATAACTCTTATAAATGAGAATCATTACTAAGATATGTACTGAGCTCAATTCCACTGCACTTTGGTAAGAAAGAAAATGTGATTGTGGAGAAAAAGTTATGAAAAGAAATTAATAGGAAAATAAAAGAGAACATTTGAATAAATAAAATATGTCCACAGACAATATTCTAAAGCAAAAACAAAGCACAGCATATGGTTTTCTATTTTCTGTTATGAGGGAGCCTACTCTCTCCAATTAAAAAAAAATCAACTATATTTATTTATATTAGACATTTGGTACGTTCATTATTCTTTACATTCATTAAAACAGATTCACTCCCCAACTGTCCACACCCACCAGGGGCCTCTATTAGGAAAATTTACTCAAAATTTATGCTTAAATATAAACATGTTTCTTGGAAAAAAAAAGTCTATAGCTCTGAATTTAGAATATATTTGGCCTAAATTAATGATTGTATTTGATACTGCAAAATAAATATAAATGCTAGTAAAATAATTTTTGTTTATTTATTTAATATTTCTTCTCTGTCAAGGAAAATTTTTCTCACTAATGCTTTCCTTCAGATAAACATTCTAATCTGTCAGGGTTGAACAGGATAGTAAACTTCTTTTTCCCCTAAATAACCTGTCACACTAATAAGTTGCATTAGTATTCTATACTTCTCTATCTCTGCCTCTACAGTTGTCTCCATATTGTCTTCCCAAACTAGATACTATCATTGTCAAAGGAGATATACCGATAGAAAACAAATAATGTTTTAAAATCTGCTACGGATAAGATCTGATCTTAAAGAAATTATGGATCAAATGAGTACATTTTCTTTGAGAATGGAGAAAAATGGTTGTAAATTACCACTTCTTTATAGACGCAATCCAAGGAAATGACCAGCTACAACACGTAGTTCTAAGTAGGTCCTCAATAAACAGTAGTCAGTATTATTGTTTTGGCTGCCTTTTTTTAGTTCTTGTATCCCTAGGTCTTCTCTAATTTCAGACCAGGTACTACTGGGACTAGGGGGCTTTGTAAGACATCAGGTTGAATTTCCTAACCTGTTCACCCCACTACTAACCTGGCAGCTAAAAAAAATAACTCTTCCATTTGAGACTAGTGAAAATGACAGATTCTTTCCCTTCGTAAAAGGCAATAGATCCCCCTCCTGCCGTTAAGTCCCAGTTCACTAGTAAACCCATAAAGTCATTTATGAGTTCTGTAAATTTGTTGAAAAGTCAAGGTTTTGCTGTTCCATGTATTTTAATTTTCCCAGATGTATTTTGTGCATTCACGTCTGAGTAAGGGGGGGGAGTGTTCTTCTTGGACCTCCCTCTGCTCATTTCTCATCACATTTCATTAAAAGTTACATTTTCCTTGTTGGCATTACCAAAACGGACTGCCCGTTTCTGAAAAGATGAAGATGAGCTCTGGCATTCCCTCGTTCCGCCTAGATTGACACAGCTCTGTTTTTCATTCATTTCCTGTTTAACACAGCAGGTGAACGCATGGCAGAGTTTACCAAGCTACTTGAAAGTTTTCAATCTAATTTCCTCTCAAGAAATGTTTCTCCTCAAAAGAACTTTTAATATGCAACAGGCCTATTTATTCTAAACTAGTTTTTTGCATTCCGACTACCAGCGTTTTTTAGTGTTTGTCTGCCCAGTCCTCAATTACCTGTCACCTCAAACACTCGCTTCTTGAATGAAGTGACACTTCCATCCTTCCGCCTGAGTAAGGGGCTGCTTCTCCTCTCTGCCACTTTCTGTTTTAACCTGGACCGCACCTTCAAGTTGGGCTCAGAGGCTGGGGATTGAGACAAAGAAAATAGATAAAAATTAAAACTAGAGAGCCAACTGCTCCTGTGTATAAAAATAGGGCTCCCCCTTTTTTTTGGTCCCTTCTCATTTCATGAAAACCTGAAGCATGTAAATAAGGCATTAACTCTAAATGAATTAAACAGACAAATATAGTAATTATTTTTATAAAAATGTGTGAAATGCTTTTCTACTTCTCTAAATGCAAAGTGAAAAAGGAGTAAAAATATCAGGTTTCTACTTATTTTACCTAGCAGAATTGGGATTGTTAATGGGAAGTTGAATCACTAAATACATTTGGGTCAGAGTAGATTTATTATACTTCATTGTTAGTCCTTTTAATTCTCTCAAGGGTGAAACCCGATAACCACAAAAACAGTCCCCTAATGTGAATTTTAGAGACTATGGCCTGACTTCTGGTAGTAAGAAGACACCCTGGTAGCATACAATTTATGTCTTAATTCCGACTTCTGGAATATTTGTCAGTAGTTTCTAATCTGAGATCCTGAGAAAATATACTCAGCATAATAACGCCAAACCAAATAGAATCATGATGAATAAACCTTTCTATACACTGAGCGTACAATCAAACAGAAAGGAAGGGTGGTCAAGACTTAGAATTGAAAGTTCTGAGTTAGGTTATATATCCCCCAAAACAAATGTATATTATTCACACATGTTGTTATTTCTTTGGTTAAACTATTCTAAATAGAGACGCTCAATAATTAGTCATTATTTACTAGGTTTTCAAGTAATTATACTTGAGAAGTATGGAAACATTGGATTGAGTTTCTTTGTAGTAGATATTAATAACAATGATGGAGGTGGTGATGGTGGTAGTGATGTGGAGGTGGTGGTGATGATGATAATGATTATGAAAAGGATGTTTCTGACAACAGCTAACATTTATATAGTGATTGCTATGTTCCACTACTGTTGTACACACTTTGTCAATATTAACTTGTTTAGCCATAAAAAAATCCATATGGGATAGATTCTATTTATACCCTGATTATATCAATGAGGAAATCAAAACACAGAAAGAGGGTAAGTAACTTGCCCAAGGTCATACAGGTCAAAAGAAATGAAGCCAGGATCCACACCCAGGTAGTCTAGTTCAAGTCCAGTCTTCTAAATAATGAAAACACTGCTCCTCCCCCTTTCTTTATGTAGGGACACCATAACAATTATAAATGTTTTTCCAAAGTATTACTAATCCTCTATGTCACACATAATGATATAATGTATCAATAGCTATAGAACTTTTGATCTGTGAAAATGTTTTCCTTGAATGAGTTTTACATTATGTCAGGCTACAAAAAGTATCAAAAGTAAAACTTAAAATTTTATTTATCTATTTATTTATTTTGCTTTTAGAGTTCAAATAGCTATCCTTTGGTTTGCTCTTGGTTCTTTTCTTTTTCCCTCCCCTTCAGCTTTACCTTGGACTGAGGACTCCTGTGTCCTAGGTTTCCTTGGAACTAGATAGGTCAATAGGAATTTGAAAGAAATATTCAGCTACAGAAAACAAAACAAGTTAATTTTTCCATGTTGTACAACTGATTTTGTGTCTGAAAATACTGAAAAAGTAAAAATAGAGTCCTAAAATTACTGCAAAAGTAGGAAATGGGGGGTCAGGGGGTGTGCAGACATCAGGATGGAGGACAAAAAGCTCAATGACTACACACCTGAAATGGATCATTTCCTGGGCTTCTCACTTTGAGGGAAAGAAGGTAAGCAGTTTGGGGACAGGAATAGGGCTCCTGCTAGACCTTCCAGGAGTGTTAACTCACTTTATTTTAGTGGAGGAGTCTGAATTTGAATTACTAGCATCCAACTCACCTAGCATTAAAGGGAGAAAAATGGTCCGGTCCTGTATTCATTTACTTAATTTTTTTCTCTGTATATATTTATTTTAAAATTCCCTTAAAAAAACTCATTTTGTCTCTGAAAAACTATAAATTAATAAATATATCCACCTAAAACCAAGAAATGAAAAACGAGGCATCCCTAACTATATTGGTCTCTGATGTCACCTTGCTTATAACCCCTAAGACAAAAAACAGATTCTCAGACTTCGATCTAGGCATGACTTTCTGATGAAACCTAATGGATTAAACACTACAGACTGGCTGCCCAGAGGGAGTAGATCTATTGATTAATCACTTCAAAAGGTGGAGAAGGTGGAGTAGAAAAGGCACTGAGTTTTCAGTGGGAAGATGTGGAGTTGAGTCCTCATGGCACCACTTCCCTGATATGGGATTTTCAGTGAAACTCTAGTGCTTTCTGAGACTAACTTCATTTGTGAAACATAAAAATCTAATATCTTCCTTATTTCACAGAGCTGTGACCACCGGATTAGATACCTGAGAATAACTGTGAAGATCTGGGTGAATGCAAAAGGGAAGAAGAGGTTCAGAGAATTTTTGTTATTGCTACTACTGTTGAGGCTGACACAGCTAACGACCAAGCCAGTAAGTGGGCCCCCAATCTCCTGATTCTCAGTCCAGTCTTCTTCCTTCTCCTAACACATCACACCAGCTGGGGCCGAGTTTCCACGATTAAGACAAAAAATGTGCCAACAGCTTGCAAAACCAGCGCATGTCATTTAAACATTTTACATGAAACCTAGCATTCCATAAGCTTTTCAGGGAAAAAATGACTTTAAGGGTCAGCAGACAGCTTTTATGCCTACCTTTGTCTATTTGAGAATGGACTGAATACAGCTCTTCAATTTCTTTCCATAGTCAACATGAAAAAAGTGATCACCAGATTAGGACTGAGAACTGGGTTCTGGTCTTGCATCTGTCAATTACTAAAATCAATAACCTTGAATAATTCACAGTCTTGGTGAACTTCAGTTCATTCATGCAAATTAGCTTGAGTGATACCTTTGTAGTATATGTCAATAGATGTGCTTTTAAATGCCTGCTCTATACATCAGCTATTTGACTTTGGATGAATAACTTTATATTTGTAAACCTCAGTTTCTCATGTCAAAATTGGGGATAGTTGTTTGTTTTTTTTTTTTCTTTCCTCCATTTGTCCCAACAGATTCCATTTTCTTTCTTTCTTTCTCTGAGCCCATGGAAGCTGAATCCTACCTAGGGTTGCATCATTCCTGTCCTTTGCTGGTGGGATTTCATTAGGGCCCAACCTACTGGTAGGATTGGCTAGTGATCAAAGGATTAAGGAGGAGAGAGGGGTCAGGGTATGCTGTGGTCTCTTGTGCTCCAGTGCTGCATCATGGGTTAGAAGCTTTGTCTCTTCCTGTTTCATCTCCCTCTGGAGGCCCTCGGCTCAATGGCTCTCACTTTCCCTGCACACCCAGAATTCCTTTCCTTGCTTCTCAGCCCTAGAGGTGAGAATGGTTTCCTACTGCTGCTATTTTCTGGGTGCCTCAATGTCCCTAAGCAGTTGTAAGCAGTCTCTTCATTCAAAGTCTATGACCTATACTGTGTAGGTTCTGTTTTCTGCCAAGACTCTGATTAATACAGTACTACATATTTTGCAAAGTTATTATAGAATCAAATGAAATAGTCTAGTAGAAGATAAACCCGTGGTTCTCAACCAGCGAAAATTCTGACACCAAAGGATATCTGAAAATGATTGGAGATGTTTTTGATTGTAAGTATGGGGGGTTGTTAATGAAATTTAGTGGGCAGAGATAAGGGATTTTTTCTAAACATCCTACAATGCATAGGACAGCACCCACAACAAAGAAATATCTGGACCCAAATGTCAATATTGCCAAGTGTGGGGTAAGCTATCAGTAAATGGCCGTTTTTAATAATTGTACTACGCTGGGATGATCAAAGGAGATAAAAATATCTGTTAGAGAGTCTCAAGAGGATGGAGAAGAGAGAGAGGGAAGAATGGAAAGATTACCAGAAATCAAGGAGTGCTATAGGTAGCTTGAAAATATTAAATATTTCAATATATCTTATACTTAGAAATTTATTTTAAAACATTTTTAATACCATTGTTATTGGGTTGTCAGAAAAGTCATGATGGATTTTTGCAATGAAAAACACAGAAAAAAATATGTCATGACTTTTGCGACAACCCAATATTTCTAAAGAAAACAAAACTAGTCAACATCCATTGGTTATAGAGATATTCAGAAAGATATAATTTTTCATTGTCAGGAAGGATAATATTTGAAGCACTGTAACATTTTTTCCTTTATTAATTGAAGACATGGCTTTTTAAAAACTAGGAGTTATTGATATTCTATGAAGTACAACATACATTTATTTTCTCAGAATCTACTATATACAACTTTTCTGAGTAAAATTCCATATCCACTGGTTCTAGCAAAAATTTTCACCTGTATTTCAATACTGGTTTTGAGTCACCAGAGGATATTAGTATGTCAGTGGTGAGGGCGAAGGTTGAAATGATAGATAACCATCATTTAGTCCTTGCTATGCTTTATAAACTCCCTCCTAACATTTCAGAAGCCCACATGCCAAAGCTCAGCATGACACATACCCAAGCAGTAGAATTAATAATCTATTGTGCTGACTCAGTTTGCAGTTTGAGGTAATTCCATTTTTTCATGCTCTGGTCTCCCCAAAGTTTGAAGATTTCCATTCCAGTGACTTACTAATGGAATGCAAATTCTCAAGAGCCCAGAAAGAGATCGCTAACTGGGGAGACATTCTGCTTGTATTTGAACGTACTTCATGCCTAGTTACATTAATTGCCTTTCTATAATATTTTTACCCCACACCCATCACTCTCTACATTTCAATTAATCACAGAAACAGAAGCAAAGCTTTTTAGTGTGTGTGCCCATTGAAATGTGTTTGTCTGCTGAGACGGAAACCCTGCATGAAAAATTGATTATCAGTTACATGAAACAGCCAATATTAAAATAAAGAGAACAGAACGAAAATCTTTTCCTCTTTTTACTTAAAAGAAAAAAGGGAACAAGAGGAAACCAAAAATGTGACAAATTCCTCATAAGCTAAATGTATTTCAAAT